TAATTATGGTTATGGAATCTATTCACAAGATGTTGAACTTTATCGAAGTCCATATACAGGACGTGTTAATGTTGAACGTGAAGTTGATTTTATTCCAATAGGTAATCAATACTCTCAACCTATAACTGGCATTCCTGCTACTATTCATCAACATTATATAAATTAATGAGTTGAATATATGAAATGAATATTGTATAAATTCTTTTTTATTTGTTGTTTGATTTTGTAAAATAAAATAAAATGAAAAATATAAAAACAGATTCATTTTTTAATTTGATAGAAATAAAGATGGCTATTACAGTTGCCTTCACTTTTGTCCTTAGTTCTATTTAATCATTGTCTATTAGTTGTTACTGAGGAAGTGAGTGAGGGTTTTATATTCATCTCTCATCTTTACTCTCACAATCACATTCACATCTGGTGCAGATTCCACATGGGAGATTAAAAAATAAATCATTAGAAAAAGAGTAATGCATGGATTTTTAAACAGTTTTAATAACTAAATTTTCAATTGGGGATATTATATGTTGTAATAACAATGCCTTATTTTTCCTTCCTTGTATTTTACCATCATGTTTGAAATAATATTGTTGTATTCTGTTAACATTTACATGACACTATAGCAATATTTTTTTCTAAAAATATTCCTTTGAGATGACGAAGCAAAAAAAACGACCCTCTTAGTCAGCTAGTTAAATAAAGTTTAGTTAATTGTTTAAAAGAAAATATTTTGTGAATAAGAATAAGACATTCTTTGTATGGCGTCTATATTAGAAGAAAACAATTATTCATATTAAAAATATCTTCTTTTTTTCTTTTTTTTGTTTCTTCAGTGTTAAAAAATAAATCTAAAATATTTTTTCATTAAACCAGTTTCATCAAATTAAATACACAACAAACTTCTTACTTTATTCTGAACAGAAGAAAATATCTTTTGGTAAGTATTGACTTTTTGAATAGGTTAGAAAAAACAAAAACAATCTTAATTCTATCAGATCATCATAGACAGTATTGGATGAAAAATTCTAGACAAAAAATATTCATATTGAAGAAGAATAGAAAAATGTTTTGAAAAAAATAAATAATCAGATATCCAAAGCTTTTGTTTATTAAGAACTATAGAAAACTATAGAAAAAACAGGAGATTATTGCAATAAACTACCATATGTGTTGGCTAAATCATACTCCTCTGTATAAGTTCTATGAAGATAAATGAATAATTTTTTCCTTATACTCCGTTTATCATTTGAAAGACTTATAAATGAAAAAAAAATATAATTATACAAATGAGATTTTTGCAGCTAAACTATATATTTGTGATATTTCAACATAACAGATCGATGTTTAATATTTATAATCATGATTTTTTAATCTAAATTCTCGTCTAAGATCACTATCGTTAAACATTTCTTGATTTTTAATAAAAATAATCTAAATGTTGTATTTATCCTTCCTTTTTCTTTTTCTATTTTTTCTTTTTCGAGTTGATAGACCGAGAACGACGAGAAAACAAAATAGAATCATCATTAACATGATGCTATGAAGCCGAGCAAACGTATTTTTTTTAGAAACTGATTTTCTATTCGTAATCAAAAGAGTATTTTTTCTCAAGAATATAAGAAAACTATAGTTTCATCACTGTACGTATTATTTCTTAAGTTTTACAATTAGCTAAATATAAAGAAAAATATTAATTAGAATTTATTTCTCGAATTACCTTGTAAAATATGCATTATACTTGATATTGTAAATAGAAAAATTAGAAAACGATTATTCTTTCTTACATGCATCGAATTATATCATAAGAGGCACCGTATTTTATTTAGAAATGTAAAAAAGAATAGTTTTCTAATTGTACAAAATTGTTTTAGAATACGGAAGTTATCTACACAAAATGAACAAAGAAAAAATTTTCCTTATTACGATATTAAAAATGAATAAATCGCCCAGACGTTTACTCTGTGCCATTTCTTTGTATTTAGAAAGTGCATTTTGAATGTCCTTTTTCTTTTTCTTAGGGTTAAGAAAAAAATAATAGAAAAGATTACACTTTTAATTAAAAAAACTAGTTTGACTATATTCGCAATCAACAAATTGCAGAGATGCATATTCTTTAAAAGTAAAGTTTAATTATTTCAATTGAAGACAAATATATACATTAGAATATGTTGAAAAGATGGATTGTTTTTGTATTGATACATATTCGAGTTAAATACAAATATTTGAACAAATTGATACATATTATATACAACAAAATTCGATTTATGACTATTTAAGATAAAAAACGAGAAACTATAATTAGGAAAATAGTTTAATAAGATCTAAAATCAATATCTTTACGAGTAAAGAGCTGACCCAATTTGCAGACGCGTGTTACTTGTTTTTGATAATATAGTATAAATATCAAAGATTTTCATGTCGGTCAAAGCAACTCCATACATAGAATCTGTATCCAGGTTGAAAAGGCACCGATAGTTAACGACCATATATGGTTGTAAGTTAGTCATGTGCTGAGTTGAATATATCGACCATACACCTGTACTCTATTGAATTCTACAATGGCTAATTCAATAATACGTATTAATTAAAATAAACGGGCTGTTCAGTCTGGCCGAAGAATTCCATTCTATTTTTTTCTTATTCAGTATCTATGATATATAAAAAAATAATTGTTCTACGAATTATAGTATTCGTATAATACTATTGATCGACCAAGCAGCCCTATACGAATAGTATAGCTCCTAAAAAAATTATATTCGCTTTATGTATCATAGAAGTTGCATCAAAATAAAAAGAATTAGAACTCTCGGTCAGACTAGACATCAGAAATATTAGTTTTTATATTCTTTGGAGAGTAATGAACAGCGAGGAGGTACAAGAAGTTTATGAAGATACGATGACAAGATCAAATCCTTTTAAATATATAGATTATTTTCTATTCGTATTATCTAGCGTATAAATGCAATCCTTAAATTTATGTCCCACTAACTGATCGTGTAATCATATTTAGGTGTGCGGAACTACTTGGTGTCATATACTATGTCGTAATATAGTTTTGTATGCACCTTGCCATTTAAAGAGAAGACAATGAACAAAATTTTAAGAAAAATCCTATCTTATTTTCGTGAACATAAGGAACAAGGCAAGATTAACTTCAATGAAGCTTGATAGTCAGACATTTTTATTTTATACTCGTTTGCATTGCATAATATAGTATTTTACAAGCATATAGGAGCGCTGTAAAAAAGTTTTTTATAAAAATATTAAAAGACGCAGTATACATGACCAAGTCTATGTGAGATAAAGAATACTTTATAAAAGAAAACTAACCGAATGTTGTGAAGATGTCTGATTTTATCCGTGTACAGTCATATAATAAACTGTTTTTATACAACCTAATTTTTCATTCAATATCGCTATCCATTAATATGAATCTGAGTTATATTTTAGATATTCAACATGATATTGTTTGGTTTTTGCAGTATTTGGTTGTTTCTGCTGATTTTTAGGCAAACATCGGGTAAGAACTTGATAAACTTCGTGCAGTTATCTTTCATCAGAAATAGATATGCATGGGCACATTATTATAATCTTTATAAGGACCTTCGACTTATTTTCTAACCGATAAATGATCATATCTAGAAATTAGCGTTTCCCGTATATGATCAAACTAAATATAATATAATCATTTCCAGAGTTTTCTCTTGAGTTTCAACTAGAAGAATCCGCCTGACGGAATCACTATAGTATTTATTGATAAAAACTCGGCAAACATCGCACTAAATGCAACAGTTAGATTCTAAGTGTAAGATTCTGAGTTTATGATAGTCATTACTATTCAAATTGTATTTCATAGTTCTATGATTTTTTACAGGTATTTCATACAATCAACCAAAACTTTGTGCAAATGCAACGTGGAACCAAACGGCTGTAACTTTTGCCAATAGCACCATGGTTGGCTCGTTACCTGTAGGCATGTATGTCGATAGAAATAACAGCGTCTATGTAGCGGATCAGACGAATGCGAGGATTCAAGTGTGGCTTAATGGGAGTACCACACTTACAGGCACACTCTCGGGTGGTTTGTACTTCCCTTATAGTGTGTTCGTTACAGACAATGGTGATGTTTATGTCGACAATGGCTACACAAATTATCGGGTTGATAAATGGGGATGGAATTCAACAAGCAGTGTTCCAGCAATGTATATGTGTGCACCATGTTACAGTCTTTTTATCGATATCAATAATATGCTTTACTGCTTAATGAGTACGTATCATCAAGTTGTCTCGAAGTCATTGGACACACGTTTAAATGTATGGAATATTGTTGCCGGTACAGGTACAGCTGGATCAACATCGGTTACACTTTATAATCCATGGGGAATCTTTGTTGATATTAACTTGAATTTGTATGTAGCTGATACTGCAAACAGTAGAATTCAAATATTTGCATCAGGACAATTGAACGGAATAACATTAGCAACAGGAGCCATTACATTGCTTTATCCAACTTCAGTTATATTTGATGCTGATGGATATATCTTTATAACTGATAACTGGAATCATCGTCTTGTTGGCTCAGGACCTAATGGATTTCGATGTATAGCGGCATGTTCTGGAGCAGCAGGCTCGACATCCACCCAATTATATTATCCACATACCATGAGTTTTGACAGTTATGGAAATATATTTGTCACCGATCAATACAATAACAGAGTGCAAAAATTTCTTTTTTTATCAAACTCATGTAGTAAGTAAAAATTAATTCTCTCAAATGTAAAACGATGCATCAGGAGGAGTATGTGATTATAGTTGGGAGCGCAAGGGCATAACGCTTCCTGCTTTGATATATTGCCTGTGAAAGCGCCAATTGCATGTCTTAAAAAATATAGTAACCTTTTATAAAATGGAATAAAAGATATATTTAGACATCAGCATGTTCAAAAACGTACAAAACATAATTTTTCAGATGTGTTCATATTCTTTTGGGAGGGAACGCTAAGAAACAGAAATATGAGTTTTAATTCTAGTTTAAACTCCAAATATTTACTACATATTTATTTTATAATATAAAATTGTATTTTTATTTATAGATGGAACGACAACAGTAACAACTATTGCTACTGGTATTTTCAAATAATTTCTTATGCGCTTATGTTATACTAATAGTTTATATTTGTTTTTAATAGTAACTTCAATGAATAATACTCAATCAGTTTCTTTAACAACAATTGTTCCTGGAATAAGTTCTACAACTACATCATATTCAAACCGTATGTAATGATTTAATAAGATAGGAATTTTGTTTTGAGTAGTTCGATTATTTATGAAATAATTTCAAAAGAGTAATAGAAAATAAATAAATTCAGTTTTTGATTATGTCTTTATAGAGAAAAAAAGGATTTTAATTCGAGTTTTACTTCAAAAACGTTGAGGGTGTGGATGTAGATGTGTAATAGGTGGGTGTATCTTTGATAAATATGAAATTAATGAATATATGTTTTTGTAGCTATTTCATACAATATGCCAAAATTCACTGCGTATACTACTTGGAGCTCTAATGGAATAACTTTTGCAAACACCACTGTGATCGGAACAAGTCCTTACAGTGTATTTGTTGATAATAATAATACCGTATATGTATGTGACTATTCTTTAAATCGCGTTCAAGCGTGGCGTGAAGGTAGTAGTAATCCGACAAGAACTGTTTCCGGTACTTTAAACAATCCATATAGTGTTTTTGTTACAAGTAATGGTGATATTTATGCTGACAATGGCTATGCAAATAATAGAGTGGATAAATGGATATTAAATGGAACAAATAGTACTTCGGCAATGTACGTCAAAAATATCTGCTATGGTCTTTTTGTTGATATAAATAATAATATTTACTGTTCAATGTATAACCTTCATGAAGTTGTCACAAACTCATTGATCAATCCTTCAAACATGTGGACAATTGCTGCTGGTACAGGATGTTCTGGATCAACATCAAATACGCTTTATAATCCTCGTGGAATCTTTGTCGATACAGATCTTAATTTGTACGTTGCTGATTATACCAATAATAGGGTGCAAAAATTCTTATCAAAACAACTGAATGGGATAACGATAGCGGGAACTGGAGCAACAGGAACCATTAGTCTCAATGGCCCGGCTGGAGTTGTTCTTGATGCAGATGGTTACGTATTTATTGCGGATTATTTGAATAATCGTATTGTTGGATCAGGATCAAACGGATTTCGTTGTTTAGTAGGATGTTCGACTGTTGCCGGTTCAGCATCTAATCAATTGCATTATCCGACAAGTTTAAGTTTCGATAGTTACGGTAATATATTTGTTGTTGATAATTACAACAATCGGATTCAAAAATTTTATGTAACAAATAATATTTATAGTAAGTAAAATAAAATCTTTCTTTTTATGAAACTTAACAACTATGATAAAATCTAATCGAAGAGATTTATTTGAATTAACCAATTTTAGTTTCTTTTTTTATGTAAGACACAATAGTGAAATCACTTCTGATTATATCGAATTACCCAATTCTCTTAAAATCTTTATAAGATCGACCATACGATTAATATTTTTTATTACGAAATATTTCATTTGATGAAAATGTTGAAAGAATAATACCAATGTTTTTTTAATTTATTTTTAATTTCAGGTACAAGTATCAATCAACCAAGCTTCTGTCCATCTACAACATGGTATACAAATGCAATTACATTTGCCAATAGTAGCATAGCTGGAACTCTCGTATGGAGTGTTTTTATTGGTATTGATAATACTGTCTATGTAGCTAATCAACAAACTAATAAGATTGTAGTATGGTTCGAAGGAAGTATTAATCCAGATAAAATTCTTTCTGGTAGTCTGAGTACACCATATGATCTTTTCGCTACTACTCTAGGTGATATATATGTTGATAATGGTGTAAATAATCATCGAGTTGATAAATTTTCATTCAACTCAAATATAAGTACTTCTGTAATGTCAGTTCCTTATGGATGTTATGGTATTTTTGTTGATATTAGTGATACTCTTTATTGTTCAACATTTACTTCTCATCAAGTTGTTAAGAAATGGTTGAATGATAATGCCCTTACATCAACTATTGTTGCTGGTACAGGTACAGCTGGATCAACAGCAACTACGCTTAATACACCTATTGGAATTTTTGTCGATGCTCAAGTTAATTTATATGTTGCAGATTGTATTAACAATAGAATACAAATGTTTCCTGTAGGACAATTCACTGGAATAACGGTAGTAGGAGCTAGTGTACCAGGAACTATTACACTCTATTATCCGTATGGTATTACATTAGATGATAATGGATATCTTTTTATTGCGGATTGTTATAATCATCGAATAGTTGGATCAGGACCATATGGTTTTCGATGTTTATTTGGATGTACAACAATATCTGGTTCTGCACCAAGTCAATTGTATTATCCAGCAATTCTAAGATTCGATAGTTATGGAAATCTATATGTTGCTGATAGAAATAATAATAGAGTGCAAAAGTTTATATTAGCATCTAATTCATGTAGTAAGTTATTTTTAGTTTAGGTTTTTAATGATATATATTTATTTTATTGTAGGTCTTTCATATAATCAACCAATATTTTGCTCAAGTGCATCATGGTCTGCGAATGCCGTAACTTTAGCCTCAAGTTCCATTGCTGGTTTATTACCTTATGGCATTTTTATTGATGGAATTAATACTGTGTATGTACCTAATCGAATAAGTAACACTATTTTATCATGGCCTCAATGGAGTACTGCACCAACAAGTAAAAGTTATAGTAATTTGAGTAATCCATATAGTCTTTTTATGTCTATGACTGGTGATATTTATATTGATAATGGTTATTCATATGGTCGAGTCGATAAATATACATTTAATACATCAAATCGTGTTACTGTTATGAATGTTAATGGAAGTTGTTATGGTTTATTTATTGATATTAGTAATAATCTTTATTGTTCACTTAAAAATCTTCATCAAGTTGTTAAACTTTTACTTAATAGTGGTACAACCATTCCGACAATTGCAGCTGGAAATGGTTCTGCTGGATCACTATCAAATATGCTTAATTTTCCTCAAGGAATCTATGTTGATAGTAATTTAAACCTATACATCGCAGACAGTGTGAACAATCGTATTCAACTCATTCAAACTGGCCAGTTAGATGGAGTGCCAGTCGTTGGTAATGGTTCATCAGCAAATATTATACTTAACTATCCAACTGGAATTGTTCTTGATGCTAATAGTTATTTATTTATTGTCGATAGTTACAATCATCGTATTGTTGCGTCAAGTTCTACTGGTTTTCGATGTTTAGTAGGATGTTCAGGGGGTGGTTCAACTGCGTCTCAATTATCTTTTCCACAAAGTATGGCTTTTGATAGTTATGGAAATATATATGTTACTGATCGAAATAATAGTCGAGTACAACAATTCACTCTTCAAACTAACAATTGCAGTAAGTTATTTGTATATAATAGGACATTATGAAATTGTAGTTGATAATTAGCTTTTTGTGCCTATTATTTGAAAAGTTAACACAAATTAAATGAAATGTTGCTTGAATTATTTGATTTCATATTAATGTTTTTAGTATAAATTCTCTCTAATTCGATTGAATAAAGCACAATTGTTTTATATTTCAGCAATACCAACCACCACCACCACTACTACTACGAGCAGCAGCAGTAGTACCACCACTAGCACTACTACTACTACCACCAGCAGTACGACAAGCAGCAGTACTACTACCACTACTACCAGTAGTACTACAAGCAGTAGCAGTACTACAAGCACCACTACCACCACCACCAGTACCACTAGTAGCACTACTACAAGTAGTAGCAGTACTACGAGTACCACTACCACTAGCAGTACTACTACGAGTAGTAGCAGTACCACCAGCAGTACTATTAGTACTACCACCAGTACCACAAGCAGTAGTACTACAAGTAGCACTACTACCACGACCTCCACTAGCAGTAGTACTACTACTACCACCACCACAAGTACAGCAACAAGTAGCAGCAGCACCACAAGTAGTACTACTACGAGCAGCAGCAGTACCTCAAGTAGCACCACTACTACCACTAGTACTACAACAAGTAGCAGTAGTACGACAAGTATTACTACCACGAGCAGCAGTAGTACCACAAGTACCACTACTACGACGACCGCTACTAGCAGTACCACTACGAGCAGTAGCAGCACCACCAGTAGCAGTACAACGAGTAGTAGCAGTACCTCAAGCAGCACCACTACCACCAGCAGTACCTCAAGTAGCACTACCACCACCACCAGCAGTACTACAACAAGTAGCAGTAGTACCACAAGTAGCAGTACAACGAGTAGTAGCAGTACTTCAAGTTCTACTACTTCGAGTAGCAGTAGTACATCAAGTAGCACTACCACCACCAGCAGTACTACAAGTAGTACTACTACTACCACTACCACTACTAGCAGTACTACTACAAGCAGTATCACTACGAGCAGTAGCAGTACTTCAAGTAGTACTACCACGAGCAGCAGTAGTACCTCAAGTAGCAGCAGTACTGCAAGTACTACTACTACTAACACTACCACTAGCATTACTTCAAGTAGCACCACAACTACGACCACCACTAGCAGTAGCAGCACTACAAGTAGCAGTACCACAATTAGTACTGCTACTACCACTAGCAGCACCTCAAGTAGAACGGCTTCCATCACAACTTCTCAAGGATTAGATATCAATGAAAGTAATAATATGAATAATATAAAAAATATAGTTTATTGATTTTTCTTTTCTAAACTAGCTTGCTATTCACCGACGATCACATTGATTCCTGGACAATCATCTCTATCATCTCCAATGTCATATCGACGTAGTCAAGATTTTTATATTAGTTCAATGATTCAATTTAATTGTGGTGGTTCGCTTTCAACAAGTACAAAATGGACAATAAAGAACTGTACTTCAACTAGATGTTCATTTGAAATTGTATTAAATGAAAAAGTTATGACAACATATAGTGAACTTTATATTCCATCAAGAACTCTTGATTATGGTGTTTATCAACTGACATTAACTGTAACAATGATTGATTCACCGAATTTAAAATCATCATCTTCAGCTTATGTAAGAATAACGGCAACAGGTATAACAGCAAATCTTGTTCAATTAGGAACATCTATGATAACACGAGGTGATCAACAGGATCTTTTACTTGATCCTGGAACATTTTCAGTTGATCCTGACGAGGATACATTCGATGCAACTGTAAGTAATATATCTGTAGATGAATATTCAAATAATTATTAGTTTATTCTTAATTTTAGAAATGGAAATACACGTATTATTGTCGAATTTATGATTTATATAATTTTCCAAATATACAAGGAATATTATTATCAATTGATGATTCAACAATTGATCCTTATAATCCATCATGTTTGTCCAGTCGATCAGGTAAAATTATTAATGAAAATCTAATTGAATTATTTTTATTATTTTTTAAAAAGGAAATGGAACAGGATTGATATTCGGAAATTTAACTTCATCACCGAATTCATCTCTAACAGTTCTCGGTAGTTCACTTCGATCAAATCAAATGTATCAATTTATGGTCTATATGGAGAATCGTAAGAATTCTTCTATTCAAGCAACAGGTTATGTACTTGCTACAGTTGAAGTTACTCATCCACAACTGATTGCTGTTGGGTAAATTTTTTACGAATTTTTAATTGAATTATCCTAATGAAAAATATTTATTTTAGTTGTGTAATATCATCAATGTGTGTTCCAAATCTTGAATTTCAACTTCTTAATCCAACAACACAAGTTGCCCTATTTACTCTTTGTATTGGAACTTGTACGAATCTTCAAAGTATTAAATGGAATATTTATCAAGGATCAGACAATTCAACATCTTCAAATTCTACCCAATGGACTTTATTTAATAATACGATTCTATATGAAAATATTTGGTTTTTTGGTAAAAATCTTGTTGTTTTAATTATTAGATATATTTATTGATTATTTTAGGTACAAATACAAGTAATTTCACAGCAACAGATCTATTATTTCTTAATAATCTTCAGATAAGCCTTTGGCGTTTTGAAGTTGTTTATACATTTCAATCTGCAACAAGTACAAGTGCATTGAATTTTATTATTAATCAACCACCTTCAAATGGTTCGTGTTCAATTAATCCTCTTAGTGGTACTATAACTACTTTATTTACTATTACGTGTCCAAATTGGTATGATGTGGATGGAATACAAGATTATTCATTATATGGTATGTTTAGTTTTCACCACCAACTGACTTTTGCACATTTTGTAATTTTAGCATGGACAACAGACATATCACAACGAACAATAATTGCATTTTCATCAGAATATAATTTTCAAGTTCGATTACCAGCTGGTGATAATGAAACTTCATTACTCAATTTTGTTGTTTATGTTCGAGATCTTGCGGGCTCTGTTACACAAGTGAATATATCTTCTGTTAATGTTATTGCAGATACCGCAACAATCAATGATTTAATTGATAAAATAACAAATTCACCGAGTACAATAACAAATAATCCGATTGTTCGATTACTTTCGAGTGGAAATCAAAATGTTGTTGGACAAATAATGACTTCATTATCTCAAGAATTCAATCAAATGAATAGTGACAATTTAGATAAAGCTATATCAAGTAAATATTGATATTCAATTTATGAAAAATAATTAAAATAATCTTTCTTAGATGGAATACCAGCTGCAACTATTTTAGTATCATCATTAGGAAGTTCAAGTTTACAACAAGTAATTGAATTTAATAGATTTTTTTTCGATTCTTTTTCTTTTTTAAAATAGGTTTCAATACCATTGAACGAATCAGCTTTGATTAATTATAATACAGAATTAAATTCTCTAGCAAATGTTCGAGATTATCTAGTAACATTCATAACTCAACTTCTCATAACAACATCAAATAGTATTATATTACAATCATCATCATTAGTTCAATTAACTCAAGCAACAAATCAATTAACACGAAATACTTTAGTAAAATTATAAAGAATATTTATATTGAAGAAGATTTTTATACTTTTTTAAATAATTCTAGATGCTCGTATCAAATCGATGTTATGAATTATCTGCTGCTTTATATGCAATATTTGAAAAAATCTCATATGAAGATGCTCAATCAGCATCAAATCAACTTTTTCAATGTGCTTCAAATATTTTAAATGTAAAATATATAAAATCAGTATTCTTACTTTTGCATTAAACTAGGATTGATTATGAGGAAACGATTCTCGGTAAAAATCACTTTCTGAGAAATATCTAACATGACAGTAATATTACTGTATGAGCCACAGCGTCGACTGGAAGGAGAAGGGTTAGGCTGGAAAGACTACATATAGTAACTGTTAGACGTCGCTAAGTACCAGCACGTTTTCAATGTTTTTGACATAAAAAAATTTTTTTCTTCTTCAATTATGAAGCCTAATAATTTTAGGCCGTGAATGGACCATTACAAGGACGAACAGAGGTACTTGATTTAGATAATTCTCGTGCAAATGCCATATCTACTGATTATGATACTGATCTTGAATCTGCATGGTCAAATTTAAGTAAGATTCTTTTAAATGATTAATTATTACTGAATTCGAATTTTTTTTGTTTTTTGAAGATTTATTTTCTGATGGAAATGATTTTTCTCCTGAAACAATTGAAAAAAATCGAAATCTTTATTATCAAAAACAATTAGCAAATGAAATCAATAGTCAAGTAACAGAAATGATATCATTATTAACTTTTTCATTAAATATTCATTTAAATATTGGTCAAAAGTCAATAATAAATACATCTCAATCATTTGTGTCATTAGAAACTATATCAATTGCATCACTCAAAGATAGACTTGTGAAACAACTTGAGAATGCTCAATTTAATATTCCATCAGGTTTTATTTTGAATACAACGTCTAATTCTTCAATTTCACTTCGAGTAATATTCTATAATTTGAATCATTTTCGTATTAAAGTAATTTTGATTTTATTCAGTCAAGAGTAGATCCACTTGCTTCATTTGGAAATTTTCAAAATACAAATCTTTCAAGATCAGTTTCACTTTCAATTATTGATCAAAATGGAAATGACGTTTCTTTTGCAGCTCATCAAAATAATCCAATCCAACTGATTATTCCTCGTGATTCAAATGTATTAATTCCATCAATGTATTTACAAAATGTTACATGGATTAATTCAACTATGAATAATTTATTATTTAATTATCATTACATTAATATAACAAGTTCACTTTCGATTTCAGTTCATTTTGAAATTCATTCTTTAAATCGAAGTCTTGCTTATTTATTTATTTATAAATTTGATCAAACACCACAATTAAATAGTTCAATTAATCTTATTGATGGATGGACAATTTTTTGTCCTTTCAGTATGTTTTCCTTTCTTGAATATTCATCTAGATCTCTTTGTCGTAATTATAGATTTAACCAATGATGATATCTATCGATATTTTATTGATAATCAACAAACACCTGGTCATCAATCGTTAATATTTGGAATAAGAGAATTAAATTCAACAGAAATGAATAATTATTGTTTAAATAACTCTTCAATAAATACGTCTTTACCAATTACCGATGAACCGTTTAATTTTACATCAAATTATGAACTTCGTCTATATACATCAGGTTGTTATTATCTTGATGATAATAATGATTGGAAATCAGATGGATTAATTGTAAGTATAAAATGGATTAGGAAAATAAACAATATTTGATATTTATTCAATTATAGGTTGGATCATTGACAAATCATTATGAAACTGAATGTCTTTCAACCCATCTGACAACATTTGCTGGTGGTTTTATTGTTTTACCAGAACCAATTAATTGGAGTTATGTTTTTGCCAATGCTGATTTTATGAAAAATAAAACAGTTTATTTAACAATGATAGTGACTTCAATAATTTATATTATTTTGATGATTTATGCGCGATTTAAAGATAAGAAAGATTTTGAAAAAGTAAACCAAAATATTGTTTTATATATTCTATGGAGTCATAATTTCTATTTTTGTTTTTAGTTGGGAGTTACACCATTAGCTGATAATAATAAATCTGATCAGTATTTATATCAAATTCTTGTTTTTACTGGTCAAAGAACAAATGCAGGAACAGATTCAAAAGTAATATAGTACAAAGAAAAGAATATTTTAAGGAAACGTTTTTTTTCTGTCTGCAAGGTTTATTTTGTTTTATCGGGTGATAATGATCAAACACAAATTCGATTATTTTCTGATCCTCATCGAAAAATTTTTCAACGTGGTGGAATTGATTCTTTTATTATTGCTGTTCCAAAGTAAAAGTATTATTTTTTCAAAGATTTTATAAAAGATTAATATTTAGATCATTGGGATTATTAAATTATATTCGTATTTGGCATGATAATTCAGGCGAAGGTTCTTCAGCATCATGGTATTTAAAATATATTATTGTTCGAGATTTACAAACTATGGATAAATTTTATTTTATTTCTCAACAATGGTTTGCAGTTGAAAAAGATGATGGACGAGTAAGTCGTGTAATTGAAAACATACTATTTCTTATTTTTTTCTTCAATTTAGATTGAAAGAACTTTACCAATTGCTAGTGAAGCGGAAAAACAAGACTTTTCATATGTATTGTCAAAAAAAGCTTATCATAGTGTTTCCGATGGTCA